CTTTTTTCGCCGTCGCTGTTGGCTGAGGCACTTTCTGGCGCCCGCGACGTTGCCATGCCATGTTCATCTTTTACACGCAGTGAAAAGGATAGATAAAGCATGGCAACTAACTCGAATTCAACCCACCCGGCCGATTCACCCCCTGACTCTCGTTCTCCCACTTAATTCCCGCCGCTCGTCTTCGGGCCCATGTATTTCACCAGCGCCACTGACGGCCGCATCGCATTACCCCCCTCCCAGATCTTGCATTTGTTACACCTTACGCTCACAATCGGTCATTGGTCCAGCAGGTATTACTGCCCCTGGGATCCGATGCTGTCGGATAGCTTCGTTGTTCCTTGACGTCCAGATGTCGAGTGACGCAGGGGCCTGCAATGGTTCGCGCGCTCGTTGGTCTTCCCCCTCGCTAACCTGGGCTTCGCGCCTAGATTGCGCCAGCGCCAACATTCCCTGCGAGCGCGGCTTGTCCGGGCCATTTCAATCATTCGATTGCGCTCGCTCGAACCCCCGCGCCGCGCGGCCCGCGCCCGGCATCGCCTCATCAGCGCCCGCGCGCGTGACATCTGGGTGCCGACCCATAGCTGAGCACCCGATCTTTACAGCGTCGCATCTTGCCGCCATCGGCTTTGCGCCGACGGTCATGCCTGCGCCCGGTATCCTTATGATGGGAACGATGACTCTCGATTTGACTTTGCGTCCTGCGGCGCTCCGGCCCGGCCGCCATGGCGGCCCTTCCATGTCGGTGGCCCCCGTCGACGCCCCGCCCCCCTCGTCGCCCCTCCTCCTCTTGCGCTCTTGGGAATTGGCCGCTCCGGTCGGGGCCCCTGCGCCGCCTTCGTTGAAGCCAAAATATGCGCCACTCCTCCATCTAGCCGCCAACTGCTCGCCGAAACTTTTGATCGACGCCTTGAAATGCGCGGCGCGCTCGCCGAATTTGGGCAACTGCATCTCGAGCGCCCCCTCGCGCCGCCCCCCCCCCCCCCGCCCTCCGAGCGCCGCCCCCCGCCAGTCTCCAGCGTGAACTCGTTGATGACCGATGATGCATAGGGCGGAAACCAAAAGGATTATGGCAACATTTTCCCGAGCTCTGTCTTGCCTTTGTCGCCCCCCTCTGTTCGCCATCCTCGCCCGTTCGCGCGCTGCCCTGATTGCGCTTTTAATTTCGCCGCTTGCCCGGGGCCCCCAACCGGGCCCGCTTCGACTCCCGCGTTCAAATCGCTGGGGCATTCTTCCGTTTCTGCAGCGGCAGCACGCGCTGGCTCGCCGTCATGTTTGAGGGCGCCGCGTCTATAGCCAGCGAACGCGACCATGACAGCCATGACCTTGACGGAGTGCGGATCTGGCCCTTCCTTTCGCGCCGCCTTGCCCCGCGTCAACTTCGCCTTCCCGCGCTGCGTGACATGCGTTAATTACAATGCCTCGACCCCTTCTACCCCGTCGCCTCTCGCGCCCTTTAATCGCGCGTGCTGCGCGGAGATGACAAGTGCTCCAGCGTCTTGCTCTCCGATGCGTTCGCCGCGGCGCCACTGGTCTTCCCCCGGCGCTGCGGGGGCGCTGGCTTCGGCGAGGGGGGCGAGTGGCGCCGCGCAGGTGCACATCTTGTTTTTGCTGAATCGCAAGTCGCAGCGCGCCTCCCTTGGCATCCGCACCCTCGGGCGCGGACAGATGCCCCGCGTCGCTGGGCTCGCTGCCCCCTTCCCCGACATGCCCTCCATCGTCTGCCCCCGGATTTGGGGCATGCGCGAGTCTGCGGGCTCGACGGAACATGTCCTCCGCTGGGCCCTCCCCTCCTACCTCGGAAAACAATCGCCGTTCGCGGCCTCCTGCGCTGGCCCTCTGGTCCTCTGAGGTCCAGCGCCTGCTCGCGCTATCGCAGTGAACTGGAACGCGCGCCCCCTCTCGCGCACCGCGGCCCGCTGCCCCGAGGCCGCGCGCTCCGCGCGGCTGCGCGGGCGCCCCCTTTCATCGCGACTCAACAATATTCGGCTGCCAGCCCGAACCATTCGTCTCGCGGAACCTGGCGCCCCCTCATCGTCTGCTATCTGGATCGGAATGCTAACTTTGGTTATCTCGCCATTGCCCCCGCAGATAGCCCTCGTGCCATCGCATGTAACAACCGTGGGATTTGCCGCGCTGCAGAATTCCCCAGCGTTGGGCGCCGCCGTCTGCTCGACTGGGAAGCGCGCCCCAACGCTCGGGTTCTCCGCTGTGCTATTCGCTAGAGTCTAGGGCCGCATCGACGTCCTCATGCGCCCCTTTCGCATCCTCTGCGGGCGCTGCGTTGACCTCCGCAGCGTTGCGCGGTGCCCCGGCGAGCTGTGCTTCCACGCGCTTCTGGGTTTCTCGCTTATGCTGCCGACGGTTCTGGTTGTCCATCGACTGCGATCTGCGCGTGGGGTCGCGCGCGCGTGCCCCGAGTAACCTCCGCCCTCGCCCGCGCGCCGCCGCCCGCCCATCCCCCCCGCGCCCCGCGCCGCTGGGCCCGCTCACCGCGCCCCGGGGGGGCCCGGAGCGCGTCGACCCACTCGTGCCCAGGCGTCGTCTGGCCCGGCGAAACTGCTTCAATATTCAGCACCCCCCCCCACTCTGACCCCTCTCTTCTTCCGCCGCTCGGTTCGACCTCGCGCGCGCTCTTCTCGGAGCAGTTCTCCGCTGCGCGGCCTCGCGCGTCGCGCGCGCGGCGCGCTCGGCCCGCCGTCGGGGCGACCCCCCCCCCTTTTTCCATCGCCAATTGGCCTTTACCCTGCGCATAAACGCATTGCCCATGCGAAATTCCAGTTTCTCCCTCGACAACACCCTCTCCATTTGCCATGCTTGCCGGAAAGCTTCCTGCATTTGGCGGCGACGTGGCCGCAGTTGCCACATTTGACATAGTCGGGCCCCTCGCCTCCTTCGCCGCCGCCATTGTCAACGGCGCTCGCGCCTCCTTTCTCGTTCTGGGCGTGCCCCCGGTACCGGCCCGAGGCAGGCCGCCAGCGACGTTCCTCGTCGATGTACCATTCTACGTGCACTTGTCCGCTGGCGCCCCATGAGTTGCTGATTGGCTCGCCAGGGCCACTCGCGCCTCATAGACCCATCGCATCATTATCTCTCACGTCGCTGTCTGACCTGTTCTTCCTGGCCCAGACCTCGCACTTGATGAGGGGCTTCTGCGTGCTCTCATGCGCGTGCTAGTCCGGGGCTTCGAAGCAAGTCCTGCTGCCAGCCCCCGAACCGATCTCCACCGAGGAAGATGATGGTCCCTGGTGCAATAACCTTGCATGGGAGGTTCAGTGAACATCATGGGCCGTGCTTCTCAAAGCTTTCGACGAGCGCAGCTCGCTGCTCTAACTACTGACTGGATTGAAACGTCGCCGACGTCTTGGGTTTGTCCGGTCTCATGGCCAGGCTCATGCCAGCCGATGGAGTAACTCCGGCTACAACAGAACACGACGTACAATTGGCTCGGTACGCCTGCAGCCCAGCACCCTCGCGTAGCCCTCTAAATTCGCCTCTGGGTTTCACTCCGGCTAACTTCTCATGACAGCTTCACCGCGTAATAGAATATTATCTCTGTGCCACTAATTTCTCCTGAATACATGTGTCATGCATTTGTCGTCGTCTCGTTTGGACTGAATGGCGTCGGGGCCCTCCGTTGCAGCTTACCTTCCATGTCAGATTCTGGCCACGTCATCGTCATATTCGTCATGTGACGTTCCGTCCAGTGCTCCGCCGGACGTATAAACCTGCTGCATCGCTTTATATTCACTGACTTATTTGTGTCCACCCCCGCCAGAACGGCTCTTCATCTCTGATGTGGGCTTCGTTATCTTGACCACTTGTTCCGCACATCGATTTGATTCTCATGGCGTTCATCCCTGAATTGACGTTTTTTTGCATCACCCTCGGAATACATGTTTCGACTGACCATGCCCAACAGCAGTGAATGCCTCTTTTGGGCCATGAGTAGTGGCCCATACTTTGTTCATTCGTAGTGGTTCCTATCTCTGCAGCTGTCTGCCGTTCGATGAATCCCCTCGTGGCCTCATGGTGGGCTCTCAAAGCCGTTTTCACATAAAAACGATCCCCGCCGTGATAAGCCGCTTCGCATAACTAAGTGAGGCTCACCGTCCTGGTGTGTGCTTAACTCTGGTATTGAGTCGCGTGCTGCAACTGGAGCAACAACTGCAATTGCTGCGGGTGCCGTCGGCCGTGCTGCGCTACCGTGGAAGCCGTGGAGAAGGCATTGCGCGGGAGCGGTTTGATCTTTTATCCCGTGGACAAGAAGGCATGCGCTCATCAGGTTGAATACTTGATACAGGCAGTGTCGGTAACGACGGCCGCTCGACTGTCACAAATATGCTTCTCACCCCGTCGCAATGGTATGTTGTAACACCTCCTCCGCCTCCTCGTCCTCCTCGTCCCTTTTTCCCCCCCGCCGGCCCCCCCCCCGCGACACCCCGAGCGGACGCCCTTCCTTTTCCCCGTCCTCCTCGTTTTCCTCTTCCTTCTCGTCCTTCTACTCCTCCCGCCCTGGTCGTCGTCGTCGTCGTCGGGTTCCTCCCCCCTCTCCTCCTGCTCCTCCTCTTCCTCCTCCTCTTGCTGTCAAAGCAAGGACCGACTGTCGTGGCATCCATATTGGCCTGCAGCGAAATGCTCTTAGAACTACAAAGGCTATAGTAACATACACAAATGACTTAGGACATAGACCCGATGTATCAAATCAAAACAGTATTAGCCAGAAGTGTCCTAATAGCATGTCGCGCAAATCAGAAACACAAGTTCTCAGAACATTATTCGGCAAACCTCTAGGCAAGCGGGGACGCGTCGCCACTGCCTCCTCCTCCTCCTCCTCCTCCTCCCGCCCTCCCTCCCTCCCTGCCTCCCCAGCTCCCTCCCTCCCTCCTCCTCCTCCTCCTCCTCCTTCCCTCTCTCCTTCCCTCCCTCCTCCTGCGCCCGGAACGCTCCCCCCCCGTAAAAGGGGACACGCGCCGGAGGAGGCGGCCAGCCGCCCGCACCGCTCGCTGGCCAGGTCGAAGACGAGGAGGCCGCCGTCCGCGGCCCGGTAGTGGTGGGTCGTGACGGACTTCCGCGCCGCGTATTTGCTCATGAGGAGGAGGAGGAGGAGGAGGCGGAGGAGGAGGCGGAGGAGGAGGAGGAGGAGGAGGCGGAGGAGGAGGAGGCGGAGGAGGAGGAGGCGGAGGAGGAGGAGGCGGAGGAGGAGGAGGAGGCGGAGGAGGAGGCGGAGGAGGAGGCGGAGGCGGAGGAGGAGGAGGAGGAGGAGGAGGATGCAGCTCCCGAAACCTCCGACGATGTGATCGACTCAGCTACAAGCACAACGCCCAGCCCGAAGACCCGAATCTCGGGTGGGGGGAGGTACAGGCTTCATGTGTTTTTTCGTTCGATGGCCCCCGACCCCTCCCCCACTGGGAATGGAAGGCGCAGTGGGGCCTTCGGGTTGGGTTGGGGTGGCCTGGTGGGTGGCGAATGATGTGTTCCATCTCATATTTTGTTGAGTGACCGACTTCGGCCTCTGAGGCCCCTTATCAGACCCTGGGGCCATCAAGCACGGACCCAGGGCCACAAACTGTCTCCGGGAAAGAGGGCTTCTTAGACAACAATTTGAAGAATACATCGTCGGATGTCAAGGCTGGGGGTGCTATATACTTCTAGAAAGAAGCCCCCATGCCCAAGTCGCACACCCTACACACCGCGGCCGCCAGGCCCCAAAATGTCCGGTGTTTCCTCGGTGTATCGGTGTATCCCCGCCTCAGGTCTTCCACGATCGACGATTGCATACCGCGGCCGCCACGCCTCAAGGGGTCTGGTGCTCCCTGTGGATCCCGCTTCGCGTTCGCGGTTGTGGATCGCTCAACATAAAATATGCTGTGTTTGTTTGCCCCTCACCTCAGACGGTCGAGTCGAAAGCCTAGGAACCTGCTGCACCCGTGCGCGGGCCAAGGATGATGATGAGGAGGAGGAAGAAGAAGAGGAGGAGCAGGAGGAGGTGAAACGAGGGATGAATGAGAAGGGGAGGAGGAGGAGGAGGAGGAGGAGGAGGAGCAGGAGGAGGAGGAGGAGCAGGAGGAGGAGGAGGAGGAGGAGGAGGAGGAAGAGCATCGGTAGAGCAGGGGCGCGAATCTTCTCCACTGGCCGAGCTAGCGGCCGGGTGCGACGACCCCATTTCGGCTTGATGATGAGCTTTGTGCTTGAAGCCGACGGCACCGAAGAGGCCGCCGAAGGAGTAGAAGTAGTGATCGGCTGACTCGTAGACGAAGGATAACGAAGCTCTGGGTAATCATGAACAGCGCCATAATCTACTTCGAACTCGTCTGGGTCCGAGTCCAAGACGGGCTCAAGATTCCGAATACGGACTACACGGACACCGATCAGTCAGTCCAAGTGAAGCCGAAGACGGTTGCCAGCAGCAGGGGCGCACTCTGCGATCTCCCCCACTTCACGAGGTCCGTGCGCTTTTGAAAACCGTCCGCCCGAACTCGGCAATCAGGAAGAGGTGCAAGCAACCACTGGAGGCCAGGATCTGGAGCAGAGATGGTCGCACCGCACTCTCCGATCGCCGCTGGGCTCGTACGTCTCCACAACTTGGCTCCTCACGTGAACGAACGTCGTGGGAGACTCGATGTCGAAGGTACCGCTTGTCATGGTCGTTGTCACTCGGTTGTTCGTGTCCTTGGCCAAGTTCATCGCCTTGACGATGTGGGGCGTGACGCTGGTCTCGGACGCCAAGGTCGCACTGCCGATGTTTCTGCAAGCACGGCGCACATCTTTTTCACTGAATTATTCGTGTCGCGGGCCACGTACTGCAGGTTCGTGTCGTGACGACCTGGGTGTTGGTTTCTGACGCCGAGGCCGGCCGCCGAGGGGATCGTTCAACCTTGAACGGTCGGCGGTTTCCGAAACGTCGGATCGTTCAGCATCGACCGATTCTGGGTGGCTGGCAGCGTTCAACGTTGAACGCCGGCGGTGGGGTCGCCGCCAGTCGACACGACGCGAACCCCCCGTACCCATCGGTCGGAAGAAGTAGGTAGAAACATGAAGTAGGAAGGAGGCGTTGAAAGGTGAAGCCACTCGATCATTGAAGCAGGAATGCGCTCAAAGTAGATTAGAACCTGGAAATCCAGAAATCTCTACTTTCAACGACTGATGGGTACCAAGCCTTGGCTGTGTCGATGATGCTGGTGGCCTCCAAGCGCCTTCTCCAGGACGGTCGCGCCGCAAGCTTCCCTCGTCGCCCGCCCCGTGATCGGACCTGCCGCTGGGCTCGCACGTCTCAACGTCGGGGCTCCTCTCGTCCGCGGTCGTGGGGGGCTGGCAAGGTTCCGGCAGAATCCCGACGGCGCGCATGATGCCACCGGACATGTCATACATGGAACAGGGCCGAGGGCGAGAGAGCGCACTCCTCTGCGGGACCACCGAGAAGAGGACGTGTCAAGGGGGGCGCATCAAGCGGGGACGTCAGGGGGGGTGCACCAGGGGGGGGGCGCGTCAAGGGAGCGCATCAAGGGGGGCGGTGCAAGCGCGCGGTTAGGGCGCACAGCGCGGTTGCACTCGTTGACGCCCGCTCCTGGGCGTCTGCAGACCTGACCTCTCGGCCGTACACAAGTCGTACACCATGGCGCGCGTGCACTGGGATCGCTTGCCGATCATCGGCGGCGATCGAGGGGGGAACGTGAGAAGGAGAAGGTCTTCCCAGAAGGTTCGTAAGTCCCCCCGGCCTTCTGAGAAGTGTTCGAAGCCTTCCCCGAAGGCAGACAAACACTTCCTGGAGGGCGCGAGGGCTGATGGGAAATCCCGCCGCCTTCTGAGAAGGCCTTCTCCTCCTCATTTCCCCCCACGCTCGCCGCCGACTTCGGCTTTTGGGTCATAGCTCGGCTGTCCAGTGACCGTTCGGGACGATCTGGGCACCCCCGGAACGCCCTCGGCGAGGCGCAGCCGCTGGAATGCACCCCTAGGGTGGAAAACCGCCAAGCACCGACGGAAACGCCCGAAGACCTCGAACTTCGAGCCAAAGACTTCCCCCTTCTCACTTCCCCCCCTCGCTTGCCGCCGAGATCGTGGTCGCGAGCTTGGCGTCGCACCGGGTGGCCAGGGCCACGAGCTCGGAGGAGGAGGGCGGAGGAGGAGCGAGGAGGGCGGCGGAGGAGGAGGAGGAGGAGGAGGAGGAGGAGGAGGAAGGAGGAGGCGGAGGAGGAGGAGGACAGAGGCGGCACTGATGCCGCGAGGGCGGAGCTCCGATGCGAGGGCTCCACGCGTCCTGTCTCGTGTCCGTCCGTGCTCTCTCGGCATGGCGGCGGCGAGGGCCACGCCCACGGCGCGCCCCCCAGGAGGCGGCGAGGCCAGCGAGCACAGCATCCGTACGGCTGCGCAGGTCCGCGAACTGTTCCCCCATCGAGTGATTGCAGTCCTCCTCCTCCTCCTCCTCCTCCTCCTCCTCTGTCTCCCTCGCTCCTCTCCTCCTCCTCCTCCTCTCTCTCCTCTCTCCTCTCTCCTCTCTCCTCTCTGCTCCTCCTCCTCCTCCACCTCCTCCTCCTCCTCCACCTCCTCCTCCTCCTCCTCCTCCCCCTGCAAAACCCCGAGGAGGGTTCTGCACGGGAGCTCGGTGACAGCGATGACGATCGGTCACCTTTTTACTTCCGCACGGCGAAGCGAGTCTCGGTAGCTTCAGCCGTTAAACACTTGAGCCAAATGTAACGGGGCACCTTCACTCCCCAGTCACCTGAATGCTTGCATGTTAACACCCCCCCTCGGACGCTAGTCCGTGTAGGCTGACGGGGAGGCGTCTACAATCACAGAAACAGGTCAAACTATGCAAAACGTCGCACGCAAATGACGTTAAGTCTCTTCATCATACTGTTGAATTCGAAATGTCTCGCGACGGCGCTTACGAGCACCAAGTTTCTCACACATGTAACCTGAGCTCGAGTAAACGCTTTTACTGTCACAAGTTCAAACGAAGCATCTAAAGTTTACACAGCAGGCTAGCATTTGGATGATTTTGATTGCTTTCGCTTGTTATTCGCCAATACCTGCGGTAACAACAAGAGATGCGCATGCAAACAAACTCAGCTCAACAAGCTGTCGCCACTCGATCGTTAAGCCAAGTTAAGAGGGGAGATGGGGAAGAGCGTGAACTGCAGCATGCTGACTGCCTGCCATCTTTCACGGGCGGCGCGGGCGCCTCGCCGACGGGGCTCGTGAACCCCTCGACCTCGGTAACCCGCGGTGTCCCACGCCGGCTGCGGTGTAGGACGACACCCTGTTAAGGGCCTGCGTCGGGCTGTAGTAGTCGTTGTCCATGTACGCGTTAATGCGCTCCTCGTCGTCAAGCCAGCACCCCTCATCGTAGCTCTGAATTGAGCCGTCAACGATGTTGTGGTAAGTGCCGATGGCTCTCCAGTAACTGGCGTGGGGAGCCTTTAACAGAGGCCCACCGCCTGGATTGTTACGGAAGTGCTCTTCGACCGCAGCGCCGGTAAACGGGTTCAGTGTCCAGGCCGGATCGGTAAGCCAGTTGGGGAAGTCATCGCACGGTAACCAGCCAAACCAGCAAAACTTCTCACGGTGATCGCTTTTACGCTCGGTGACATGATCGGCCGGCCAATTATCACGGTAAAGTGCCCTCATGGATCCCTGATCGTTAAGGGCAACATCCAAGATGGTCTGGTGCCAGTAGACTGGAGGCTTGCTGATACTGCCCTTTAACTCCTCGGTGCTCCTGACCTCGAGGTCGTCAATGAAGTAGTTGCGGTAATGCACCTGGGGCCCGCCCATGTAACGGCAGTAAAGCCTGGCGAGATCGGGCGTCGCAAAGCGAATCACGGTAACTCCAGTCGAGATGTAACCGTGCGGCCCATGGGTATCCTCCACCAGGTGCTTAACGGAGATCACGGCGGGGTTGCCGTGGGGCAGCATTCCTGCCCACGTTAAGAGGAGACCGTTAAGCTGCTTCTCGTTCATCTCCGGCACCTTGTTGACGTACACCTGCGTGTCCGGGCAACTGTGGAGCTCAAACCACGATGAGTGAAGCTCGTTAAGGTTGAGCGGTGGCACGTAGTCATCGTCAAA